CACGAAACACTGTAAATAGCAGTGTTTTAGCCACTTTTGGGCGCTGAAACGTTGGTATTTACACGGTTTTTTGCCCGTGACGGCGCCAAACCCCTGTAAATTACAGCATTTTTTGCACTTTTTGAACCGATGTTTTGCCTTGATGAACGCAAAAAACGCTGGTATTTACGCGTTTCCCAAAAAATCGAAGATCGTGACGTGAACGAAACCCTGTAAATAACAGTGTTTTAGCCACTTTGGGGGACTAAAACTGTGGTATTTACGCGGGTTCTTGCCAGCTGACAGCGCAATATGCTGTAAATTACAGCACTTTGTGCGCTGTTTATGTTCAATTTTTAAACGCGCGATGCTTTCACATGTTCTTTGCATTATTTTGCACAAGAATCAACGTAGCAGATTGAAACTGGACGACAGCGTGACCCGAAAGAAAGCTGGAGGGAGGAGACGCACAGAAGCTTTTACCCACACACACAGGGGCTTTTACACAGAGAAGTCTTTACACAAAGGAGCTTTTTACATACAGAAGGTTTTACACAGAGAAGTCTTTACTCTAAGGTGCTTTTGCAGACAAACGTCTAGGAGCTTTAACTCACAGAAGTTTTACACGAAGAAGTCTTTACACAGAGGGCTTTTTGCACACAGACGCGTTTGCACACAGAAGCTTTTACACAGAGAAGCCTTTACACAGAGGAGCGTTTACACACCAAAGCGTTTACACACAGCAAGCTTTTACACACGCAGGGGCTTTTACACATTTACACAGAGTAGCTTTTTACACACAGAAGGTTTTACACAGAGAAGTCTTTCCTCTGAGGAGCTTTTTCACACAAACGTCTTGGAGCTTTTACACACAAAAGCTGTTACACAAAGAAGTCTTTACACAGAGAGCTTTAACACACAGACGCGTTTACACACAGAAACTTTTACACAGAGAAGTAGCCTTTACACAGAGAGTTTTTATACACGGAAGCTTTTACACACAGAGAAATCTTTACAAAGACGTGCTTTCACACAGAGAAGCTTTTACACAAAAAAGCCTTTACACAAAGTGGTTTTTACACACAGAAACTCTTACACACAAAAGCTTTTACACAGAGAAGTCTTTGCACAGAGGCGCCTTTACACGAAGTAACAAGTTGAAATCGGCAGCAGTTCTTTAGGAAAAACCCTTCGCAGGAGCTTTCGGGAACTCACTTGCTCCCCAAAAAATCGTCTATTCCAACAAATACGTTCCAAAAAACCTAAGGAATATATTTCTGAAGCAGGTCCTCATTCAGTAACTTTCACGCCCACACTGCGATGAAATGGAGGGCCGAGTGGCCCGGCGGAGCCGACGATGAGCGTCACAAAAATCCGGCCAGGGGCCCCCTGGCCGTGGCATTGCCGTAGGCGTTTCTCTCCTCTCCGTAGGAGAGAGGGGCCGCCGCCCCCTGCCGCAGGCGACTCCCCCCCGCCAAAAACTGTCGCGTTTTACGGTGTTTTGTGCTCTTCCCACTTTTTCCCATTTTTCGGATCTTGTGGCTCAAGATGGGTCAACATGGGCCAACATAGGCCGCAAGATGGGCCAACATAGCCCCAAGATGGGCCAACCTAGCGCCCAAGATGGGCCAAGATAGCCCCAAGATGGGCCATCATAGCTCCAAGATGGGCCAACATAGCCCCAAGATGGGCCCACATTGCCCTCAAGATAGGCCAACATAGCCCCAAGATGGGCCAACATAGCCCCCAAGATAGGCCAACATAGCCTCAAGATAGGCCGCCGACCATCAAAATATCCTGCGTTTTACAGTGTTTTTCTGGCTCTTCCCATTTTTCAGATCTTTTGGCTCAACATGGGTCAACATGAGGCCAACATAGGCCAACATAGCCACAAGATGGGCCCACATTGCCCGCAAGATAGGCCAACATACGCCAACATAGGCCAACATAGCCACAAAATGGGCCAACAATGGCCAACATAGTTGGGCCCCTGGCCGGCTGTCGCGCGTAAGCGCTTAGATATACATAGACACAATTTCAATATATATATAAATAATTAAATGCGCATATATACATAAATGCAAATATACATACATGCAGAAACACATAAATACATATTTACATAAATACATAAATATACATATATACATATGTACGCATATACGAATACACATACACATACACATACACAAATACATACACATACATACATTACATTACATGACATTACATGACATGACATGACATGACATGACATTACATGTATACATACATACATTACATTACGTTACATTACATTACATTACATTACATTGATACATACATTACATTAATACATACATTACATTAATACATACATTACATTAATACATACATTACATTACAATACATACATACATACATACATACATCCATCCATCCATCCATCCATCCATCCATACATACATACATACATTACATACATTACATACATTACATACATTACATACATTACATACATTACATACATTACATACATTACATACATTACATACATTACAATACATTACAATACATTACAATACATACATACATCCATTACATGCATTACATACATACATACATACATACATACATACATTACAATACATTACATTACCTTACATTACATTACATTACATTTCATTACATACATTACATTACATTACATTACATTACATTACATTACATTACATTACATTACATTACATTACATTACATTACATTACATTACATACATTACATTACATTACATTACATTACATTACATTACATTACATTACATTACATTACATTACATTACATACATTGCAATACATACATTACAATACATACATTACAATACATACATTACAATACATACATTACAATACATACATGACAATACATACATGACAATACATACATTACAATACATACATACATACATACATACATACATACATACATACATACATACATACATACATACATACATACATACATACATACATACATTACATTACATTACATTACATTACATTACATTACATTACATTACATACATACATGACATACATACATACATTACATACATACATTACATTACATTACATTACATTACATTACGTTACATTACATTACATACATTACATACATTACATACAGTACATACATTACTTACATTACATTACATTGCATTGCATTGCATTGCATTACATTACATTACATTAATTTACATTACATAACATTACATTACATTACATACAGACATTACATACATTCATTCATACATACATACGTACATACATACGTACATACATACATGCATGCATGCATGCATACATACACGCAGACACACAGACACACAGACAGACACACAGACAGACACACAGACAGACACACAGACAGACACACAGACAGACACACAGACAGACAGACAGACAGACAGACAGGCAGGCAGGCAGACAGACGACCGACCGACCGACCGACAGACAGACAGACAAACATAGAGGCAAACAGGCATACATACGCATATATATATATGTATATGTAAAAAAAAGTATGTATATATATATACATATCTTTTTTTAAACATACATATACTGTACATATACATATACTTAAATACGTATATACATAAATGAAGATATATATATATTTAATTACATATTCGAATAAATACACGTATACGCATAGACATATACAAAGGTATACAAACACATACAAACACATACAAACACATACAAATATACATATATGCATATATATATATATATACGTATATATACACCAGTAGTACCGCACAAGGCGGTGGCGGAAGTTTCAAAAATAGGAGACCCATAGGAAAGGTTGGTTGTTGCGAATCACGGATGGCAGAGCGAAGCCACTGATGGATCGAAAGATGGTTGAGGTCTCCTCTCTTTTTCTCTCTTTCTCTGACTACCTACCTACCTATCTGTCTATCTATCTCTCTATCTATCTGTCTGTCTGTCTGTCTGTCTGTCTATCTATCTATCTATCTATGTAGTTATCTATCTATCTATGTAGTTATCTATCTATCTATCTATCTATGTAGTTGTCTATCTATCTCTGTAGTTGTCTATCTATCTCTGTAGTTATCTATCTATCTATGTAGTTATCTATCTATCTATCTATGTAGTTATCTATCTATCTTTGTAGTTATCTATCTATCTATGTAGTTATCTATCTATCTATGTAGTTATCTATCTATCTATGTAGTTATCTATCTATCTATGTAGTTATCTATCTATCTATGTAGTTATCTATCTATCTATGTAGTTATCTATCTATCTGTGTAGTTATCTATCTGTCTATCTATCTATCTATCTATCTATCTATCTATCCATCTATCCATCTATCCATCTATCCATCTATCCATCTATCCATCTATCCATCTATCCATCTATCCATCTATCCTTCTGTCCTTCTGTCCTTCTGTCCATCTGTCCATCTGTCCATCTGTCCATCTGTCCAATCTATCCAATCTATCTAATCTATCTTCTCTATCTTCTCTATCTATCTATCTATCTACCTACCTATCTATCTATCTATCTATCAATCTATCCATCCATCCATCCATCCATCTATCTATCTATCACTCTCTCTCTCTCTGTCTGTTTGTCTATCTATCTATCTATCTATCTATCTATCTATCTATCTATCTATCTATCTATCGGCTTCGCTCTGCAATCGTGACTCACAACAACCAATCTCTCCTATAGGTTTCCTATTTTTGAAACTTCCGCCGCCGCCTTGTGCGGTGCTACTGGCATATTATTAGATATAGGCTATAGGTTATATACGTGTGATGTTAACATGAGAAAGAGAGAGAGAGAGAGAGAGAGAGCCAAAACAAATCAATCCGTACTTCTCACAATAGCCTCGGCTCTAAGTTGGTTTGCCTGCTTGTGACATGTATCTCGAGAAAACTAGCGCATCATAGTTTTGCCGCTTCTCACTATCACCGCCACAGCTTGAAGCAAGGCCAAAGTTACCCCCAGCCTACGATAATTTTTTGGTGCTCAGCTTCTTGAGGCGAAAGGTCAACATAGGCGTAGACATCAACCGAGGTCCCTGGGCACCGAGTGACATTGACCTTTTGACACATGCTGAGAGGGTGCTGAACGATTTGTGTTTCCTCGGTTTCATTCATGGCCCGAAATCGTGGAACTATTTCAAATCAATTCCCTACAAATTGTGGGAATATTTTGGGGTATTTTTCCCCACCTGCCAGGTGATGGTCTGTAGATTTTATCAGAGTTGCATTCCTCCTTCTCCTCCTTCTCCTTCTCCTCCGGCAGCCTCGGATCTCAACTGCGAGCTCCGGATCTCAGTGGGCACTGCCGGCTCAACCGCAAGCTCCAGATGTCAGTGGCGCTCTCAGTACGCACTGCCAACCGCAATCTCCAGATGTCAGTGGGCACTGCAGGACCTCCACCGCGAGCACCAGGTCTCAGTGCAGTGGGCACTGCCGGATAGAATGCCACAAAGGATGCCAGATAGAATGTCAAAATATACGTCCAATAAAATGCCAGATAGAGTGTCAGAGTATATCTACCAGACCAAACGCCAAACACATTGCCAGATGGAATGTCAGATCATATATATATATATTATATTATATATATATTTTTTATATATATGCAGGTGTGTATGCCAGAAAGAAAGCCAGATAGAATGTCAGAATATATGCCAGATAGAATGCCAGTTAGAATGCCCATTAGAATGTCAAAATGTGCGTCAGCTAGAATATCAGTTGACGGGGATCACTCGAAGTAATTCTCAAAGCAGGCTTTTTTCAGGAGCGTAACATCAACCAGCGCACACCATCCCAGAGCCCAGATGGGAACCACCACACCAGTCTGCAACCCGCACGGGAACCACCGCGCAACTGCAGGCAGAAAAATCAAGCCAAGGTAAAACGTCTCTTCCTCAACTTAGCCCCACCGAGGCAGCAAGCAGGCAGACACCAGGCCATGCTTCAAAGTAAATCCCCTTTCTACTCAACTTGCGGCCACAGGGAAGGGGACGAAAGCAAGTTGGGCAAGGAGAGATGTGTATTGAGAGAATATGTGGCGCGACCGTTTCAATTTCAATGTTTGAATTAAAGATTGAGAGCAGAGGTCGTGCCAAATCCGTTCTCCTCTAAACAAACAACCCAGGCCTAGAATCTGGTAACTTAGGTACATACATCCATCGAGCAAGACATGCTTGGGAATCTCAAGATGCGCATCTTCCATTCCTCGTCAAGACTGGGTCACGTTTGCATGCAAACGTCTTGAGGACAAAGAGCGCAAGAGTGCGAGGATCCGGGTGGTTGTTCATGGTTGTTCTCTCATCACATTGCATTACATGACATGTCATCACAGTACATTAGATTATATAGATTAGGTTAGATTGGCCTAGATTAGGTTTAGATTAGGTTAGATTAGATTCTATAGAGTATATAGACTAGAGGAGGGTGGAGTAGAGTACTGCAGATTAGATTATGGCATTCATGTTGCTGCTTCCTTATGGCATAACATTTAGACTGCTGTGTTTGGCTGAGTTCTATCCTGTTATATACCTTCACCAAATGCTCCTGCGGGCAGGTATCATCCATGACAATCATTTTTATCCAATGGTATTTGTCTCAGTGCTTCGGGGTGCACGGCGTGTATTGGAGTGCCATGTTTGACTGAGTTCCAGTTCGTTTGATACCTTCACCAACTCTTGCGGCGTGAAGGTATCACCCATGGCAATTTGATGTCTCCAACGACGTTCTTCCCAATGCATCAGGATGCGCGGGGTCTATTGGACTGTTATGTTTGAATGCGTTCCATCCCAAAAAATCTTGCGGTGTGAAGGTATCACCCATGACCATTTTATGCGTCAAATTGCGTTCATATTGGTGCTTCTGGATGGACAGCATGTATTTGACTGCTGTGTTTGTCAACATTACATTGCGCTGCATTGCGTCGCATTACATTACATTCACAACACTCAGGGTGAGTATCCAGTCTGCCCCAATTCATTGCGAAAGCCAACCCAGCTCCAGCTAGCAAGCTAGCTTTTGTGACTATGTGTTCAACCAAAAAAATACAGAAGGGAGGATGAAATGTAGCATGACCATCTCATAACCACACCAACTCATGCATAATGATGGAAAACCTTGTAAAATCAGACCTTTCACCACTCCACCCCCCATGGTAAGCGCTCTCAAAAAATAATGAATATGAATAAATTTAGATGAACATGATAAATAAAATCCTTACTTCGACTCTGACCCTTTTTCATCTATTTCCCAGCAAGGTTTTGCGGAAATTCCTTCTTCAAGACTCCCCAGCTGGGTAATGCCCAGTTCACGGTGTCTACGGCACGGTTGTCCCATCCTCTGCAAGTCCTACTGCGATTGTTAAAAAAACAACCGTAGACCATCGTAGACCCCAAGCAGTATACGCCAACATGTTGGCCGACAGGACGTGCCTTGGAGATAAATCCAAGACAGGTGGACGACAAATGGGAAACGATGGGAAACGGCTAGAAATCCTTCAGCAGGGCTGCCACAACAACCCAAGGAGGCCACGAGTCCACGAGTAAGGAAACAAATGGGAAAACAGGTGAAAAAGTAGTGGCAAACCAGTGGGCGATAGTGGAACATCCTTCAGCCCAGCGTCGCCCACGAAAAGCTGGACAAAACGGTGCCAAGCCGACAGCCGAGGCGTTCGACGTACTCACATCAACGATCCATCAATGAACGATTCACAACGCTTGCAAGTCAGGGTGGTATTCAAATGTCATGGGTTGTAGTTGTCACTGGCCACATTCGCATGACAACTAATAACTAAGTTCAACCCTTGAACTATGCCTTCCAAGCTTTAGCCTGGAGAAGTCAGGCAATTTCTGCTTAGCAGAGAGAACCACATCCAGGGCCGCCGCAAATAAGGATACAGATAATTAGAGAAGTGGGACACAGGTGGGAACCCTTCAAGCGCAGAAAAGCCAAAAAGTAAGGAGACAAGTAGGAAAAGAGGTGGGAAAGCCAGTGGGAGAAAAGTGGAAATCCTTCAGCCCAGGGCCGCCGCAAATGGGGAGACAAACAGATCAAACAGGAAGAAAAGTGGGAGACAGGTGGAAATCTGTCAGTCCAGGGCAGCCGCGTGGAAAGACAAATGGGAAGACAAGTGGAAAATAAGCGGGGCCAAGCAAGCACATCGGACAGAATCGAGGAAATCGGGCACTGATGGGAAACGAAGCCCAGACTAGAAAAACAACGTATGGGAGACAAAGCCAAATACATGGCGCGGAAGTAAATTGCTTGAGAATGAAGGGGGACAAGTGCTCTCCGGACGTCACTGGCCTGACTGGGAGACAAATGAACGGAGAGAAGTCAAGAGAGACACCCGGAAGCCAAGCAAAGAGAGACATTTGGAAAGCCGGACATCACGACCCAGCATGGGAGACACCACTAGCCAGAGCGGGAGACAAATGAATTAGGAGACAAGCGAAGAGAGAAAAGTGATGAGAAGACGGAGAGCAGTAGCCAGATTGGAAAAACGGATAAAGGAAGACGAGTACAGACATCCAGACAGCCGGACACCACTAAGTACACGGCGGAACAAATGAAAGGGGACAAGTGACGAGAGACACTCGGAGAGAGGGACACCACTAGGCCAGACATGAAGGGAGACAAGTAAAGAGAGGGGGACTGGGACAAGTAAAGGGAGACATCCGGAGAGCCGCGCACCACTAGGCATCACTAGGCACACTGGGATTCATCCGGAGAGCCGACACAAATGAAGGGGAAGAATTAGAGAAGGGAGACAAATGAAGGGAGACAACTGAAATGAAGAAAACCATCCGGAGAGCCGGACACCAGTAGGCACACTTGGAGACAAGTGAAAGGAGAAAAATGAAGAGAGACATCTGGAGAGCCGGACACCACTAGGCACACAAATAAAGGGAAACAAGTCATTTAAAGAGGGAGATCCAGAGAGCTTGACACCACCTATAGGCACACCCGAAGACAAAGTGAAGAGAGACATCCGTAGAGCCGGACACCACCAGAACACTGGGAGACAAATGCAGGGAGACAAGTAAAGAGAGACATCCGGAAAGCCAGAGACTCAGGGAAACAAGTTAGGAGAGACATCCGGAGAGCCGGACATAGCACACTGGGAGAGCAATGGGAGGAGAAAAGCAAAAAGAGATATCTGGAGAGCCGGACGCCACTCGGCACATGGGAAAACAAATCGAGACAAGGAAACATCCAAAGAGCTGGAGACAAATGAAGGGAAACATTTAAAGAGGGACATCCGGAGACAAATGAAGGGAGACAAGTACAGAGAGACATCCGCAGAGCTGGAGACCAAGTAAAAACGGACATCCTGAGAGCCGGACACCACTAGGAGACAAATCGAGGGAAGGAAGTGAAGAGAGACTTCCAAAGAGCCGGACACCACCAGCCAGGCTGGGAGACAAATGACGAGAGACTTTTTTTGTGAAGAAAGACATCCGGAGACGCGGACACCAACACCTGCAAACAGGTGGAAACCTCTTAAGAGAGAATTGAGAACCCCAATAGTAAGCTTTTTGGGACACCACCAGCCAGACTGGGAGACAAATGAATTGCCGGGCTGGGAGACAAGTGAACTGGAGACATCCGGAGAGCCGGACACCACCTGGAAATAGCCGGACACCTCTTAAGAAAGACTTGAGAATCCCAACAGTAAAATCTGGGGAAAAAGATTGGACCATTGTATCGACATTTGCCTTGTTAGCTTTGATGCACCGACCCTACAGAAGGGTAGAAATAATGTCCCCGCGATACATCTAGTTTGCTCACCCTGCTCGTGGAACATACATACCAGTGGCAAATACTTACTAGTTCATGCGGCGCTCTTTTGAAAAGTGCGGGTATTTGAACAACCCTGTAGCATCCTGTACCTATCTTGACATGACCATTCATCATGCACAGTGCCTGCTTTTCATCTGAAATCCATTGGGTGGTAACGGAAGACAATAGGACAGCGAGGAACCTTCGAATGGCTCCAAAGCTGTGAGCAGCAGGTACAAACCAGAGCCTCAGTCACATCCTAGACTGCCAACATGTGTAACCCATGCAATAAAGTGGCGGTGCATGGACTGCAACGGAACATGTCAACATTCCAATTGATTGCACAGATGAATGCTGCTATATCAGGGCTTAAGGCATCTAGTGCACGATTGCTGCAGCGAAAGGTGAGCAGTTCCTTCAAAAGACCCGCGTGTAAATCTTGTAAATCTTGTAATCGTTTGTGGCAAATAAGTAAAACATGTAAAGAGGAACGTGGGACGAAAGCGAGTACATTTCCCGGCTCACCAGCGGCCCCAGAGGCCACCACAGCTCCGTGCATTTTTGGTGATCTGATACCAGCACCCACAACCAGAATACAAGCAGCCCTACAAAATGCACATAGGATATAAGGTGGTCATAGGTAGTCTATATTGAAATAATTTGAAATATATTGAAAAACATGAATAATAATATGCTGGTTCACCGATGTTCAAGAGTCTCTGTCATTTGATTGTACGTACTCATGTGGTGCTTTTCCAAATAATTTGGGCATGATTTCGCGACCCCTTGGCTTTGGTGCAGTCATTGTTTTGAGGATTACTGTACCATACTTTCGCACGGCTTTTGCCGTATTGGAAGGAACTAATTAGTATACGTCAAATCAATCAAGGCCATAATGGCCCATACAAGTATGGGTTTGTCCAAACATGGGATGCCCTAAATTCCACTTGACTATCATCGTTCATACATTTAAACCAATGAAAGTTGCCATTTCGTTGTATACTCCATTTCCCGACAAAATCATATGTCGCAAGGCTTTCGCAGCGTGGTCTGTTAACGGGACGCTTTCGCGGCATGTTTTTTTTGCAAATGCAATTCGAAGCCCACCTTTTGTCTCCTATCTGGGATTCTTGAACGCTCCTTAACTATCTGAATTCTCAGCTGTATATTCATCCGGAGACATTGCAACCTTACTTTGCGCAATTGCCGCCCCTTTGTATCCGGGCTCTTGTCGGACTTATACGAGAGTGTGGTGAAAGAATCTAAAAGGTCAACTTGAACTTATCTAACCACTTTCCCGCTTTGCAAGCTTGGGTTCAGGCCAAGAGGAAGAAAAGTGATCAAAGTCAAAGTTCGGTGTATGACTGTTTCGGCATCGAAAAAGAGAGCAATCATGTAGAGGTACCTTTGCAGCTGATTGTTGGAGCAGCGAATCATCGTCACAGACATGGTTGTGAAAGGCTGGCGTGGCTCCTTGAGTCACAATCCCTGAAAGAATCCCGAAGTTGGTCACTTCAATTTCGGGGGCATTGAGCTTCCAGCTCAATTTAAACAACGTGACCAAAGACCACAAAGCAATCACAAAGCTTCACAAGTATTGACAAAGTTGATACTCTCATGCACCCAGCGGCGCACCCAATGATGCAGGCAATGACAGCTCCCATTGCAAAGAGAAACCATTCCCGGATCACTACGCCAAACAGCCTCACAAGCATCCAGACTCACTCAAGAACTGCCGAAAAGCATCGGAGATCATCCGAAAGAAAGATTATGCCACGTGAAGCGCGCAGGATCAAAAAAGTGGCTGGCCGATGAACAACTAGACTATCAATAGCAAACATTGTAAACACAACAGAGCTTGCAGCGCTGCACAACAAATATCGCTGGTCCGAAGGCCAAAAAAGCAGGCCGTGCAGAATCTGTGGGGCAAAACTATGAAAGCGTATGATAGTATGAGTGTGTGCTCTTTTTTGAGTCCCATATCTAAGGTAAATTGAGTAAGGAAAATGTAAGAGTCCCATAATCCTTTTGGAGCCACCCTGAGCCGTTGCACTTCACCTCAAGAGTCTGCCTCTTCTGCTCGAAAAGGCCCTTTGAACCTTCCAGGATCCACCGATATCCACAGTTCCCAGCAAATCCCTTGAATTCCCAGGCCAGGATCCAACATCCAAAAGGGTGGGGCCAAACACGCTTCCAATAGCTTTCATCCTTTTGCTTCATTAGCTCTCTAAAATCTCTAAATACTGTTTTTGGTATGGCGGGCAGCACAAGCCATGCTGTCCCAATGTGGGACTGGGACTGACTGGATGCCCAAATGCAGTTTTGCATGGTTTTGGTTTTTGAACCAGCCAGCAGAAAAACACAATTGACGCAGTAGATGCAGGAAACACCGCGAACGTAAATATATTAAATATAACCCCCTGTCAATTAAGGGGTGGGGCTGCGCAACCATTTTGTAGTGAAGAAACGGCTTGCATAGCCTCAAGCTCTACTAAATGGATGCGCATGCATGATCGAATTTCACTACTAAATGTGGGCCCCTGGTTCAGCTGAAGCGCAAAATTTGGATATATTTTCAGAGTGTCTTAAGACACCAACATGACTCGACCAAACACCCTGTTCCATTTAGTAGAGGTACTCATTTGAGCACAAGTTGCGGGACCAACATCACTCGACCAAAACCCCAAAGCCATTTAGTAGAGAAATACACGGGGTCCATTTGGTAGAGAAAACAACATGAAACACATATGACTGATCCTATGACCATCCATTAGTAGAGGCAGCACTTGGCTAAGCAGGGGAAATCTTGATAGATTTTGGACATTTTGGGACTACAAAATGGTGTTCCATAGCACGTAAGGGATAATAGGGCACACAAGGATGCAACAGGGCTTTTGCAACAGGGCTTTGTGTGAAACAGTTCTAGATAGACTGATCCCATGACCATCCATTTAGTAAGCACCCGACGAGCAAGAAACACCCAAGCGAGGGATTTGGCATCGCCCCCAAAAAAGGCAAGGCAGCACGGTGGGTTGGCCAAACGGTTATCGGGGGCAACGGAATGGGAATCTCTACTAAATGGTTTTTCAGTTTTGTCTCATTTCATTGTGACCGTTTTATGAACTCTACTTCGCAACCTCTACAAAATGGTTCCTGTGATTTTGCAACATTTTTTTGACATCTCTACTAAATGGTTTTACCCAAAAAACAACATTTGACATCATATGATTAACATATCATTTTTACCTCTCTACTAAATGTGGATCATGGGTCTAGAGATGTTTACTTGATTTTTTTTGAAACTAAATGGTTTCTAGAAATTTCACACTAAATTTTTGGTTCACTTTCCGGGACCTAGGTCATAGTATTTAGTAGTGGAAATTGGCAGGAGGATTTAAATATCAGATAATATCAGCAGTTGCAGGAAATGTGCTGCCATCGTTGTTGATCGTACCATGAGCAAAATGTGGTCAGGACTCGGTTCCTGGACTGATTGACAGTCGCACTTCTCTTTTCGGAACACACCGACAAGCGGCTATCTTAGAGGTTGATTGCAGCTACAGCTACAGCTACAGGATGCTACAGGATGCTACAGGGCTAAAGATGCTAAATTGATCTAAATTGATCGGTGTTTAATGGCGACACTTTAGGGAAACACAGCGTTTTTCATGGCGCTTTCGCCAAGTCTGCTAAGTGTGCCATCCAGGCCTCGGACCGCAGTTGGGCGTCCAGTGGCGAACAATAAAAGCCTGACTGGACGCTGGCATAGTCCTGTGACGGCTGTCGTGACACAGCGGAATCGGATGGAATCGGACACAGTTTCACTATGTTTCACTTCCACAAGGTTCGAAAGGTCCAATAGTTCCAATCGTTATTTGTTCACAAGAAGAATCAATAAGATGGTCAGATTTTCTTTTTGCTGAAGTCCAAGTTTACTTCAATACAGTGCGGCAAGTGAAGCTTTGCAAAGGCCGTCCGTTCAAAAACTAATGATGATCTAGGTCAAGGGCTTTTAGCAACCGTCCTTCAAAATTGAAGATACAAACCTCTACAGACTCTACAGTCCAAGGTTTGCAAGTTTGCCAGCCAAACCATGTCGCTGTGTTGGCAATCTTGTGACAAAGCTATCCGGCAAGAATTTTGCACTTTGTATTGTATCTGGGGATGTATTGATCGAAGGAAGTTTAGAAGTCAAACTTCCGACAATATGGACAGATGAAAAGCAGAGCAGGGAAGAGGTAGAGAGAAGAGAAAGATTAGAAGAAAGAAGAGTAGAAGAGAAAGAGTAAGAAGAAAGAAGATGCAGATGCGAGAAAAGGTAGGAAAGTCGCGAAACACTGTGTTTTTCCAATGATTTGGGGCTCCGGAGGGTCGAAAAGTAGGCTCGCTAAAGCGGCGGGTGCAGAGCCAGCTGGCCAGATGAGAGATGAAAAATTACACGCCGTTGTGGCGCGAAGCACATGTCCAAGTCAAAATGTACAAAGCACACCATGTACGGACCATTTTTGGAGGTTAGATGTCGTTTCGCGTGGCAGGCGCAAGGGATTCTGCACCTGTTCAAAAGTGAGCAAAACGTGCGGGTTTTGTAGCATTTCCAAAAACAATGGCAGGCATGGGACATTTGAAGAGGATCTGCAAAGTTGCATTTTTCGTGGCAGGTGCAGTACAAAAGACATGTTGATGAGAGATGTTAGGCGGTTCGGGCGCTGATTTCCTGAGAGGGGTTGCAGTTTGGAGTATCAGATGTGCAGGTTTGCTAAGATGATTTTGCGGGACAGGTGCGGCACGTCGTATGACCTGGCATCAATTTTCCGTGGCAGGCGCAGTACTTTAGACAGGTGGACTGGAAAAATCGCAAAACGCATTGGTACGAGGCTGGCAGCTTTGCACTCAACTTTCCATTTTTGAAGGAAGTCTCGCAGAATCCTTTTGTTTTTGATGTCTTGAACTTCGAAAAATGAGGAAGTCTCGCAGAATTGCTTCGTTTCGGATGTTGTCAAGTTCAAAAAATCAAGACATCTCGTAGAATTGTTTCGTTTTGGACGTTGTTATGTTCAAACATGAAGGAAGTCTCACAGAATTTCCTCGTTTTTGATCTTGCAGATAGATAGATAGATAGGTAGGTAGGTAGGTAGATAGATACATAGAGAGATAGACAGATAGACAGACAGACAGACAGACAGAGAGGTAGCGAGCGAGAGAGAGAGAGAGAGATAGATAGATAGGCAGACAGACAGACAGACAATATGAGAGATAGCGAGCGAGAGAGAGAGAGAGAGATCGATCGATCGATAGACAGTTAGACAGACAGAGAGATAGCGAGAGAGAGAGAGAGAGAGATAGATAGATCGATAGATAGATAGATAGATAAACAGATTGATCAGTAGGTAGGTAGGTAGGTAGGTAGATAATCAGAGAAAGATAGAGAAACAGAGAGAAAAAGAGAGAAAGAGAGAGAGATCAAGCACCTTTCAGTCCATCAGTGGCTTCGCTCTGCCATCCCTGATTCACAACAACCAACCTCTCCTATAGGTTTCCTATTTTTGAAACTTCCGCCACCGCCTTGTGCGGTACTACTGGTAGAATACTAGACTATATATCTATTATTATTGATAAATATATTTATATATATAGAATGCATACAGTAATGCACAGGTGCAAAGATGCACTTTGTGTTTGTATGTATGTCTGCAATGTAATGTAATTGTAAGTGTAACAATGCAAATGTAAATATAATGTCATGCATGTCATGTACTTAATGTACGCATGTATATGATTATATATGCTATGAATATTGTTTTACAGGACTAACAGCCTGAAAGAGTCAGCTATAGACGCTTGTTTTTCTTGAGCCATGCACGATGGTAATGGGTGTAAGAGACGTGATTCTTTGGTTTGGGATGTTGGCATTGTATGTGCTCGCGGAAGATGTCCGACCTCCTGAAGAACCTCAAACTCAACTGGCGATTGAACAACCTGAAGATCCTGCGAGGTATCGAAAACTTGAGGACGTGGAGGAGCACAATGTACATGTCAGCGTTTTGGACCAAGGAGTGGCGTGACTTCCAGGACCACTATTATACAAGATCTGGATGGTTCACTTTGATCAACATCCAATGGGGCACACCAAAAAGAAGCCCACTACTTTGGCCACCACGATGGAGGAACTTGGTCAACTGCGAGAGCTTCGTGGAGATCCAGCTGATGCTCAACAAGCTGCTCAGGAGTTCAAACAACTTCCTATGGAGCAGAGATGCCAAGTTTCAAAGACTTGGGCAAGTTGGGACCCTGGCCTGAAGATGGCAATCGCGACAGCCGTCAACAACTACATCCAGAAGCTCGAGAAGGACCATGAATCTCCCAAGCAGCCAAGCCTCAGACCTTTGACTCAGGTGGCTCTTGAAGCTTGGAAGAACCACTTCTTGCACGACCACTTGCCGGCTCGACGTGACTGTGCACATTGCATTCGAGCTCAGGCCAGATCAAGACCTCACCGGGAGGTGACACACCCAGAGGCCTACACGCTGTCAGTGAATTTGTCTGGAAGAATGACAGCTGGCCAAGACCAAGAGCATCAACGATGCAAATACCTGATGGTGGCGTGCTACACGTTCCCAGTGACTGGTGATGGCAGACCTCTCATACGGCCACCTGGAGCTCCACCAGAAGATCATGATCATCCTCTGCCGTCGATGGATTTACACGGAGGGGAAGATCAAGCTGCAAATCCTCTGCCGTCGATGGACTTACACGGAGGGGAGGCGGCAGCAAATCCACATGGAGCTCCTGATGATGATGACGTTTTGATGGATGAAGAGGGTGACCAGCCACCAACTCCGGAGGACTCAAAAGATCTACCTGAACCAGAAGATCCTCTTCATGAAGAAGCTCCGCTACTCTGCTCCTGACGGACCACAAGAACATGCTATGAGAGGGGCCGATGAGGTGTGGCATCGAATGATTGAAGAAGCCACCGACGTTGGGGTTAAGAATCTGACCTTCGTGGAGCTGCTGGGCTCACGGTCTGTGGGCGAAGTGATGCCTGCGCTGGCCCGCATACATGCGCGGCTTCAGGCGTTGGGACTCCCAGTTCTACGTCTCCATTGCGACAGAGCTCGAGAGCTGGTGGCTGCCCCTGTCCGACGTTGGACTTTGGATCGAGGGATCATCACAACCCTCACATCAGGATCGCCGTGTGGGGTCGGAGGTGGGAGCTACAAAGCGTGGCGTCAAGACACTCATCTCGGCAAGGTTGTGTCCCTCAGAGCACTGGCCGTTGGCCGCCAGACACATTGGAGAAAGACGGCTTTGCAATCAGCTGAAAGGAGCTGGATGGCCTGCATCTCCAATGCTGCGGTTTGGCAGCAAAGCATTTGCCTTGCGCAAATCATGGCAAGAGCGCTACACTACACGGACTGGAGAGATGCCAGAAAGGAGGTGGTAGTCATGGGGCCTGACAAGTTCTCACCATTGACAACAACAAGTTACTATGTGAAGTCCCTCGCAACTGGCAAGTTCTTCTACACTGATGATGTGGTGCAACCGGCTGCAGATGCTCCTCAGGAACCTGCAGAAGAGCCACAGGCGATCTACCTCGAAGAACGTGGTGACCGAGCATCTCCACCGATGTGGTCTGGCACACCTACTCGCAGACTGTGGGGCAAAACCACAGCGCCAGCTATTTCGATGGTGTCCATCAAGGGGGAGGACAAGGGTCAGGGTTGTCAAACACACCCAAAAACGGTTCTTCACAGGTTGAATCAGGTTCCTTTTATAATGTTCCTGAATGGTTGCAACATCATTTTGAGTTGGAAAGTGTAACGGGTAGCGATGAAGAAAGTTGGTCTCTAAGAACAGATTCAGAAGAGACCTCGGCAAGCTCACGAGATCGGACACCGTCCATGCAGTCCGATGTGATTGAGTACGGAGGTGGGGAGAAGGAGGAGGCGCCTAACGACCGGGCTGGTGGCACATACCCGGTGGCCTCAAGTATGGACGGATTAGCATCTACATCGAGAGCGAGTCTGCCAAGCTGGATGCAACAGACGAACAGGCGATGTGGATTGGTGCATTGACTGACGCCATCAAAATGAAGGCGATGATTGGGCACCAACTGCAAGAAGCTCAAGAGCTGGAATGTCAACGGGCGACTCAGAACCTTGAGAAGGAGTTCCTGGTCACAAAGACCATCAGCAACTCTGAAGTTTGGTCTCATCTGAACGACTGGGAGGCATCCATCAGGGCGGAGTTCCAGCAGCTTGTCAATACAAAACAGGCAGTTCGTCAGGTATCCAAAGGTGAACTACATCGCCTGCCGATTGAACTTCTGCCTGGAAAAATGGTGCATACCAGAAAAGCTGGCTCAGGAGCTTACCGCTCTCGCGCAGTGGTATGTGGAAATTATCAAGAATCAGGTGGCGATGAACGCTATGCTGGTGGTGCCGATGGCAATCAAATTCGAGCTCAAGTACGTCCTGCTGGACTGAAAGGATGGTCGATCTGCGGAACTGACATCAGAGTGGCCTTTCTCAATGCGTCAAAACGTGATGAAACAAAGATCACGGCAATGGAGGTGCCAACAGTGTTTCGCAAACTTGGACTTGCTGGCCCTGAAGATGTCTGGATCATCCAGTGTACGGCTTGACAAGCTCACCTCGTGACTGGTGTCTCTATAGAGACGAAACACTTCCAACTATGACCTGGCGAAGGGATCGTGAAGGGCTGGAAGTTGAAAGACACTTTGTCCGAACTCCTGATGACAACGTCTGGAGATTGGAGGAGGTGAACCAGAAAACGGGGGAGAAGCTGTGGACTGGCCTGATGTCAGTGTACGTGGATGATCTTTTGATCTCTGCTGAAGATGGAGCTGCTGACAGTGCCATCAAGGCCATTGCTGATGTTTGGGCCATGTCTGAGGTTGAGAAGGCGGAGGTTCAACGACCTGTCAAGTACTGCGGCTTTGAGATTGAGGCGGCTTTGGATCAAGATGGATTCATTCTCACGCAGAGAAAGTATGAGCAGGAGATGCTTCAACGGTGGAACGTGACCAAGTCCATCGGGTACCCCAACTTCAAGCTGAGCGAAAGCGATGAAGATCCTGCAGATCCCATTGACCAGAGCCAGATCAAAACAGCCCAGGCGATAGCTGGTGCGTTGCTTTGGTTGAACACTCGCACCAGGCCTGACATTTCGGTTGGAGTGTCTGCTGTATGCAGACTTGCTACAAAAAAATCCAGCCAAATCGATTCAGGTCGGGATGATTGTGATGGCCTACATCCACGGAAACCCTGGAGGTCTTCGATATCCCCGAGGAGTCCCCAAAGAAATCCGGGGTGAAAGACAACAGTTGAAGATTGCCCGAAACGCCAAGCTCCTCGATGTCTTCTTCTCGGACATCGCCTATGGCACGGGCTCCAGGGGACGCAGTGTTCAAGGCATGGCCATTTACTTTGGTGGATGCATCATCAGCTGGCAGACGTCTATCCAGCCATTTGTGACGCATTCGACGGCGGAGAGTGAGCTGGTGGCATACTGCGACTCTTTGAATGCTGGACGGTCTGCAGAGGCGATGCTTTCTTCAATGATGGGCATCCAGACCGGGAGCAACGAAATAGAAAGAGTGCTCTATGGAGACAACGTTGCTGCGATCGGTCTGGCCCATGGAACAAGCAGCTCGTCGTGGAGGACGCGCCATCTGAAGATTCGAGCATCGTATCTTCGTGAAGCTCTTGAGGGAAGAGCGCCTGGGCTTACTGCACCTACGTGGGTCAGAGCTGGTGGCAGACGGCTTGACGAAGCCACTTCTTGGCCAGGCATTTGCAGCCTTCCTGAGGGACTTGGGGATGCCAAGACAACATGAAAATGAAGAAGGTGAAGAAACCCACAGCCAAAGTGCAGCTGTGATGGCGATGATCGCAGGAGGTCTTTTACTTTCTGGAGTTGATGCAGAGGAGGAGATCACGGGTGACACCACGTCTGAGGTCATTTGGACCTGTGGAGCAGTGCTCATGGCTCTGGGTGCAATCTATGCAGGGAAGCGCGATGCTGCTTGAGACGATTGCGTGAGCTGCCGCGCTGTCGAGATGAGGATAGGCGCTCTGATCTTCAAGACCAAGCAGCGACGGTTGGTGGGACTTCTGTGAAGATTCATCACGATGGGGGCTCTATGCCCACTTCGAGCTCTACTTCTTTGAATATTAGCATACGATCGGGCTCTCAAGCGGCGTCTCCGGGTGGCGCTGATCTTGGGCGCGCTGCGGCAGCTGGTGGTGATGCATGCGCTGCGAAGTCGGCGTTGGCTTCATAGTCTATTGCCTCGGGCACAGCATCTGCAGCTGCTGTTGGTGGTGAGGCGTGCGCTGCAGAGGCGTGGCCTTCCTCGTCTACTGCGTCGGGCTCAGAGCACGCAGCTGCAATGAGGGAGGGATCTCCTAAGGAGATGAACAAATTTTCAACATGAAATGCGTGGGAAGGGTTTTCAAAGGCCACAATGGCCAAACTTTATAAACATAGCAAATCCAAAACGAAGATGCCTTGAGCCAGCCATTTTTCATGATGGCATTTTGGAAGCTGCGGTGAGAGCACGGCAGCTGAAATACAGCTGGGGGGAGTCTCACAGGGGACTCTCTGATTAGTACATCTGATAGGCATCCTTGTCCAAGAAAAGAAGTGATAGTTGTGGAATTTGGGTTAAGCCTAGAAAGGAGAATTACGCTTACGGCTGAAAACCTGTTTTACAGGACTAACAGCCTGAAAGTGTCAGCTATAGACGCTTGTTTTTCTTGAGCCATGCACGATGGTAATGAGTGTAAATACAACCAGTGAAACCTAGTAAAAACAAAGATTATCTTTACGCTATGTACGTATATCATATGTAATTATATATGATTGTATAACTATATATGCACACGTAAAAAATAATCCTTTCCATTTATATAAATGAAATTCTATGCAGATCTTTACATACATGAGGTTCATGTGATCTTGGCACACTCACGTATACGTGCACATTGATACAAAAATAAACAAATGGATAGTATTAGCATGTATATACAAAAATTGTGATCATGATATTACATTATATATATATGTTCGCAGAGCTTAAACATATCCCCAGGAGGGCTCTTCAAGCGAACTACGCAAACAAGACCAAAGCGTGCCTTCATCAGATTTGGGTCTATTGCCTATTGCACGCTTCGATTAAGAACGTAGATTTCACAAGCAATTTCACATACAGCGAGCTACGCAGCTACACTTGTCTTGTGCAGTATGTGCAGTATGCAGTTATGTCCTGTCGTTGAACCTGGCCATGTTGGCAAAGGTGATACGTGTAATCCTAGGCGAGCAGAACATAGCAGAACTGCACGTTGAAAACGTTGACACGTGGTCACTTGTGAAGAGGGAGACCACTTGCCACATGTCATAAATATGTCATAAATATGTCACAAGCATGTCACAAGCATGTCAGCATGTCACACACATTCAGAAGTATTCACAAGTTGCAAATGCTTGTGGCAGAAGATCTTGTAGTGTACGAGTCTGTACAAGTACCATCTTGGCCTCTGGCAGAAATAGGGCACTTCTCAACGCATATCGGCTCGTCCAAAACCAAGCCTGTGCGTGTAGCATTCAGGCACCTCAGCAAGCATTGCAGCCACCAACTCAGCTGGGTAGCTGGGTAGCCACTGTGGCCACCCTAGCAGTGTTGATGATTCTGCTAGCAAGATTCAAGACATTTCAAGACAGGCCCAGATAGTTTTTTTTGTTCCAAAAGAATGGCTTGTAGGCTGATTTCGAACATTTACATACAAGTAGCGATCCTCGAGTTGGTAAGTGACAGCAGTCTCTGTGCCATTGGATGCCAGACCCCAATCCCCGTACACTTTTGGCAGAGGTCTAACTTTCGGAATAAAATATCCCCCTAAGCTTTTAGCAGAGGTCTAACTTTCGGAATCAATTGCCTGCAGTTGGATAAGTTGGATAAGTTTAATGAATTTTCACATCGGTTTAGTGTGTGGCTTTAGAGAGAGAGAGAGAAAGAGAGAGAGAGAGAGAGAATGACGTATTGACAACTTTCCACAGCTGTGAAGGAGTAAGGGCACAAGTGCGACCAGCACAGGCAACAATCATGGGCATCGTTGTTGAAAGCCAGTCGTATACAGTAAGCGGCAACATAATCTTGATCTTAGAGGCAACCTAATTTTTCTTGTTCACAAGAAACAGTCGGTCAGGTCAAAGAAACAAGACTGCGAGTCAAACATGCGTGAAACATGTAGATTGGCCCCCTATGCATATTTTTGCGTGGTCAATATTTATTGTATTGGGCATGTACGGGATCTTTCAATGATGCGGCGTGCCGCAAGCTGCCAGGGCGCCAAAAGGCATATTTTGGCTTTGATTTCTGGCCAAGGTGTAAAGGATCTTTCGCCTTGAAAACAAATGTGCTTCTGGAAAGGCAAACATTAAAGGCACACCAAATCCCAGAAGCAAATCATTAATATCAATATCCATCAACTACATCTGCTGCGAGAAAGGCAGCCTCGCTAGGACACACCAACTGCTGATAGCTGTACCTTCCACAAGAAATTTCAGGGCGTCAGCAATGCGGTTCCAAACGGCCCTTGTGCCTATCTGAGACTATGTGACTTCTGGGCGCGAGTCGAACAACTCTGAAACTCATGAGCAGTAAGTGGTGGAAACAACGAACAAGAACGGCATATGGGATATCTTTCAAAATCAACAATGAATATACACAATCCATCATCTCGCTATTAACCAAGAAGCTCCTAATCAAGAGCAGATGATTACAAAAACTGCTGGCTGCTTGGCAAAAACTGCAGATTTGGGGCACCCGTGAGCGAGCACATCCAAATTTGAGCCGATGAGAAGGTGGTGACACAGGAAAACTGCTCCTGCATTGACACACAAATAGATTGAGGTTTCACGGATGTCACAAACAAAGTGGAATTCGACAAAAACACCAGACATAAGGCAAACATAGGCAAACCAGAAATCGGCTCAGTCCAGTCGCATTAACATCATGATCGGTCAACACCCACATGGCATTGAGGCTCTGCCCGCCCACGCAGCTGGTCAGTGACGGCACGATCAGTAGCAGGAAATGCCAAAAGCAACAGAACAGGTGTCAAAATGCGTCAAGTATGTCAAGTGCACGGTAACGCATGCATATAACTTATAACGATCCCTATATATATATATAAAATATATATAATTATATATACACATACACAGGTTTTGGCCGGGACAGGGGGGTCTTTGTGGAGGACCATACTCAAGACCAGGTTTTGTTTGGGTGTGGCTGATATTTATTTGTCTGGTGTTTCGTTGTACAGTGTTTCTGCAGCAAAATTCGTCCAAAGGAAAAACTGTCAGGCTGAATCCCTGTCATCTTCTAGCCTTCTTAAGCCTGCGTGGAAATGCATTTGGTGAAGGTGCATGGGTTGCAAAAAAAATCTCGGGGTAGCCAGGCTGGTAGCCTTTTTTCTTTTCGTTTTGATTCATTTTATATATATATATATATCTATATCTTGTACGGGCATCAAAATTCACACAAAAGGTGGTGTCTGAGCGTGAAGCCGCTGTGAAGGAGGGGCATCTTCTATTGTGCCTGGGTGTTGTGTGCAAGAAACATCGGAACAAATGAAATAGAACTGTGGGACATCGCTATCTTTTATGATTGCTGTATGAGCAATGAGTACTACCGGCACGTGTATTTCAGCAGTAGGCCATCAGGGAATGCTATAGCTGACAGGCCAACGAAAACACTGTATGTATATTTTGACTGTGTAAGTGTTCAAACTCGCGTCGCTTCTTGGTGCAGAATAATCGGAGACTCATCTTTGCATCATATTAATTGCCCCGCATTAAGATAGTTGGATCAGATTATAATCGGTTGCGTTGTGTGGGTTGTCACTGTTTTGCAAATGGTTTCTGAACGACATGGGAAAGAGAAGTCTGTTCTTGTCCAAGGGGTGTGGATGTGGATGCGGATATGGATGTGCATGGGACTTAGAGTGTGATATAGAGTGTGTGTGTGTGTGTGCGTGTGTCTGCAAGAAACAACCAACAACTAGAAAGTCAACTTGCATGCAGCACGGCCCCTTTTCTAGCGAGTCCTATTGTCGCGACCAGAGCAATGATGAGACACCACCAGTCCTCTGATAGCCAACGCTATTTGCGTGAAGCTGGCGACTTTGCTGCATCGCTGGCTATAATTGCCAAGGGGCTGTGCAACTCCTCTCCACGTCGAATGGCGTCTTGCTGAGGCGGCTGACCGGAACCTTGTCTCAGAGCAGAATACAGCGCATGGATGGGCATGTTCTGTTTAGACACATGAATTGCTGTCGGATTATTCCTGATGATTGGGCTCGACCATTCCAAAGGCACTTGAACTTCTTGCCTTCAAGGGGAATCATTAAGGCGCCAACATCATCTTCCTCAACAAGTTCCTTGAGTAAAAACAGCAAAAATAGGTGTTGAACAACGATGTTACAACAAATGCATCAACTAGCTGAACTTCGGACTCCAAGTTGAGCTTGAGCTTCTTCATCAGTTTCAAATGTTTCAACCTTGACAGATCATTTCAAGGAATCATGCTTCATGGGCAGTCATATTGTGTATGGCATGTGCATGATCACATGATCCTGTCTCAAGCTGCGGTGAGCTCCAAGGGTTGTGCCAAGGGTTCCTCTTGCATGTCTGTAGCTTCCTCCAGGTCGGTTTCAACCGGTGAGCAAGGCTTTCTTTTTCATGTTTTTCCTTTTCTGTTTTGATCTTCTCCAACGGGCGTGCATTGGTTCAGAGCAAAGCTTTTGGTGTCAAGTCCAAGCCCCAATGTCAATGGCAATGCATGAGATAGGTTTTCCTCCCAATACTTTTGCGACGGGAAGACGGTTGACTAAGTCCAACACAGCAGATCCGAACATGCTGCTCTGGAAAAGCGACATGTGAAAAGTGCAGCGAATTCAGGAAGGCCCCGTGTGGCTTTAAACCATGAGAATCCTAGACAGTCCGGTATGAAACTGGAGATGAATGTGAAAAGATGCGCAAAAAAATAAGTGACAGGTATTGATGCCGGCTATTGTCACACTGTGTCCTGAAATTCGAGCAGGATTTGGTTGGATTCCTTTTGCTGAAATTGTCTTGCGTCGACAAAGGAAAGGAAAGAATGAATCAACTAGAAGAGTGACTGAGCGAGGATATGTTGGTCTTATGTTGATGCGTGCTTTGTCGCATCAAATTAGCAGCTCACTTTGAAGCTGAAACCGACTGACGCGGCAAAAGCAAGGCGACCCCTGAAGCAGCAAAGAGAAAAGGTTCTGAAGATCCTGAAGTGCTCTGCCAATCTCAACCATGCTTAGATTCGAAGATGTGGGAAAGCCTTCCTAAGTTGCAAAATAGCTCAGATTTATGCCGGCACAAAATCATTTGAGGATTGTGTAGCCATAGTCAGCCATTAGTCTGCTTATAGTCTGATTGAGCCAAGACCAATGATGCTTTTCTTCTGCCGCTTCTAGTTTTTCTCTCGCGTCCTTTCCACATTGTCAAGGCAGTGCCATGTGGGAACCGCTAACTTTCTGGAGGCCCTAACATCTTTGTGCAGAATCTGGAAGGGTTCGGACGGTTCGGATACCATCGGATACCTCTAAGTTCTCCGGACTCCAGAGATGAACCTGCTCAGCAGGATGAGCTTCTTCAGTATGGTCAACTGGACGAAGCTTGAGCGAAGCAATGTATTCCGAAAACCTTTCCTGTACTTCTTTGGGAATACATCTGTTCTCTGCTTTCCTTACACTTCAACCCTACTGGTTGACGGTATCACCGAAGGAAGTGTCTGGCATACGAGCAACCAAATGAACAAAGTGATCCAAGTAGCTGGCGTGAAGAGAAAGCCAATATAGAGGCGTGTCAAGTGGAACTTGCAATCCCTGCAAGAGAATCTCCACTCCTTCGGCCAACTGGCCATCTTTGAGGAGTGGTGGCATTGCCAAGTTCAAGAAATCTTGAACCGTGTTGGCCGTGCCATCTTCATCAAGAGGTGGTGCCCTGTGCAACAAGACATCGCAGTTGGAGCCATGTGTGGAATCCGCAGACCAGAGGTGTAGTCTCACTGCTACGCTTTTGCACTCCACCAAGTTGGTGCACATCAGCCTCAATTCAAAATTGGGCATCAGATCACTGGCACTCTTTATGCTGAAAAGACCAGCAACTGTGTTTTTTTTTCTGGGCATGTTCACATCGGGTGGGAAACATTCATAATTTCTCTTGTTTGGAGACTGCAACCGCAGTAAGAAAACACGTCCAAGGAAACTTGGTGCAGAAAGGCAACTTCTCTTTCACCTGGGAAAAGGTGTCCAAGTCGCTCTTCAGGATTGCATTCCAAAGCGTCATATGTTCTTTCTTCTCCAAGCGCATGAATCGAGCGGCAGAGCCAATCTCTAGGAAAATGGCCTGCCATGGACTGTGGCAAAGTACGAAATATTGCAAAGTAAGTAATTTCCAGAATTTTGTCCGAATGTTTTTTGGTGTAAATAACGCATGAATCGGAGTCGTTCGTCGAAGGCAACATGACGCAATATGCATTGGCACGAATCGGCAAGCAAACACTACAGCATGGTGTCAAATGGTCCAGAACAAGACAATCTAGACATATGGTGCGCCGATGATCACGGATGTGTACAGCCTGCTTAAAAGCATTCATGACGGATCTCTGCAGGTCGGCCATCCCACCTCGGCTATCACAATATCACACGTAGTTGTTTTCAGATGTTTTCAGTAGGTTCAGAACCACATATTTTTGTTCATGTCAAGACGTCAGTATTGTGTTTGCAACTGATCGCTGTGCGATCGGCTACCTGGGCACAATTGTTGTCCCCTTGTTTTTAAGGTTGATTTCAGGTAAGGGCATGACACCTAAATACCACGAAGATCTACACCAAACTCAGCAGAAACTACCGGCATCATGCCACCCAACTCATTCGTTCGGAAACACAGTGCAGACTGAACCGTCAGCTGCAGCGACCAAAAAAAACAAAACCTACCTGGTCACCTACTACCCCATTTAGACGTTTCCTCAATTTGAATGGGGTGTATGAGCGACAAAATATAAATGAGCAGTGTGTAGTAGACAATGTGTAAGTGTAAGCAATTCAACTCAATCAGCAAACTTTTGATTTACCGGCAGATGGCCGGCGTGTCAACCACACCATCATGTCAAGCACACCATCGTGGCAACCACACCATCATGGCAACCACACCACCATGTCAACCACATCATCATGTCAGCCACATCATCATGTCATCTGGGAAAGCAACCGAAGCGGGCGAATCATTGTGTTTTTGCAGGTATGGCGGCTTCAGGGGTCCCCAAGTGTTGATTTGAGGCTGTTGCCTTGTGACCTTGTATCGCATTTTACCAGTCAATGACCTGCCAATCTGATTGGCTTCAAGCGCTGTGCGACACAGGCACGGCCGGGACGGTTCCGCGTGAACCCGAAATGTGCCATCGGCTTGTGGTTGTGATTCCCCAACCCTTTTTTCCATTTTGTGGCATGATTTCGTGTCCGGCCATTGGTCAACCCTTGCTCCCTACCAGTGCTAACCGACACTGGTAGCGGAGCCTACAACAGTCCGCGACCTAGTGAATCTTGTGGGGATTCTCCATGGCAGCCCCAATGGGAAGTGGAGACAATGTGAACCCAAAGTTGCCGACATGGGATGGGAACTGGAAGAGTTTCTCAGATTTCCGCTTTGCCTGCCTTCTGGAACTTGATGGATGCAAGGAAGAAGACAAAGCCCTATCAGCACCTCGCTTAGTGAGGAACCTGACAGGCCGTGCCTGGGAATGCTGCCTGGATATCGATCGGGAAGCCTTGAAGAAGCCCGACGGAGTGACTCACCTCTTGGACTTCCTGCGAGATAGAGGCAATCAGCAGGTTGATCTGTTATAGGAGATGCCTTGCAACAATACTTCCAAACCGCAGATCCTTTTCGTCGCGAGGGTGAAAACCTCAATGTCTACCAGTAAAGACGTGCTGTTTTTGTTCGAGACATCAGGAAGGCGATGGCAGAGATTGGCTGCAAGGCAACAGTTCCTACTGAGATCTATGGATGGTTCGCCATCAACAAGCTTCTTCGTCTGGACTCCACAGATGTTGCTATGGTAAAGGCCCAGGCTCAGTCATACAAGCTTGATGATGTGATGCCTGCCATGCGAAAAATGCGGGGCGGAGACCGTTTGAGTCTTCGAGATGCAGAAACGAAGAAGCAGGGAAACCATTCCAAGACCTTTGCAGCCATGCTTGAGCCCACTTGTGCCTCGACAGGGCATGTGGGCAGTGAGGCGGCCTGGATGAAGATGCTGAGCACAATGATGAATCTGATGTTGAAGACGCCCTGGAAGAAAGTCAAGCTTGATTTGAACAAGTCACAGATGATCTGGCGGCCAGACCCGGTGATGACCAGGTCTATTCCAACTTCCAGGAACCCCGTAAGACTTTGTACAAGGAAGCTAGGAAGGCGCTGGACAAGCATCGTGTCCCCAGAGGATTTTATCCAACTGGTGGAAAAGGGAAAGGACAGGAAGCGTCAGGGAAAGGATTCCAAGGAAGATGCATGCGGTGTGGAAAGATAGGTCACCGGCAAATTGGCGGTGGCGCTGACTCTGGGCGATTTGGATTTGTCTTTACATGTCTTTACTACGGCTGAGGTAAGATCTGCCAAAAAGACAGTGACTTGGAGTGAAGGCGATGGAGGGATCGCGTTTCCTGTGCCGACCTATGCAGCCTTGACAGATGAGATTCAGACTCAGACCAAGTCCATCTTGGACTGTGGCGCCAGTGAGTCAATCATCGGAGCACACACCTTGCAAGTGCTCTATGAAAAGTACGCAGAACTTGGCATGGACCCAGATCAAGAGATTACCGTTGATAGACATCAGAGACAATCCTGTGCGTTTGGAAACAATGAGACGTCCCTGGCTCTAGGGTTTGCTCATGTATCTGCTTACATCGCGGGTCATCGGATGAAGATTCCGGTCCATGTTGTGGAAGGACAGGCGCCGTTTTTGCTGAGTTCGCGCTGGTTAGAAGAGCATGAAGCAATGATCAATTTCAAGACTGGCTTAGCCAACTTCCGGTTTCTTGGAGATGAGGCCATTCAACTTGACAGAGCTAGCACTAATCCTTTGCTGCTTCCTTTGACCTCCTCTGGTTTTGATTTGAATGGTTCCATGTCCCATGGTAGCTGTTCCCGGGATGATCACATGTCGCACTGCGAAGCTTCTGGGAACCGTCCGGAAGCTGTGCCACCCTAGGGACAGCTCCACCAAGTTTTGCAGCTGGGGCAAGATTTGAATGGACAACCGGACTTTCCGGAGCGAAGTACGTTGAATTCAGAGACCTTGCAAGCCAGCAGCCCCGATCCGTGTACAGTTCCGCGGTCTTCAGAATGCCACCATGCGGTTGATTCCAGTAAGCTTTTGAGCCATGGTCAACAGTTGTGGTTTTCTGAGGTGGCCCGTGACCATGGCACCCAAGTCATGCATGCTTATAGGAGCTTGGGTAGGAAACTGGATTTGGTTGAGGTTTGTGCACCTTGGGATTCTCCTCTTTCTCAAGCTGTTTTGGATGCCGGGGGAAGGCCTAGTCAGCTTGGAATTCCGGGATGGTGTTGAGATCGATTTCTCTGAGAATGTTGATGAAAATGATGGTGATGGTGATGATGACACTGTTGGAAACTGTCAGTTACCGAAGGGTTGGAAACCCAAAAGAGCTGAAGAGTTGGATTGCGTTGAGGATCTCAATTTAGGCTGCGTTTCCAAAGTTCAACATGCCATGAACAGCAAGTTGGAGGCCAGAGAGAAACAATGAAAAACTTCCGAAACCACGACCTTCTTGCAAAGACACTTCCGAGATGCCTGTCAGTCATGCCCTTTTTCAGCGATGTTGTGACGAACAGATTTCATGTTGTGAAATTATGCTGACTGTTACTGGTAGAGACGTTCACCAAGTTAATAGAAACGGCACTAAGGAATGGAAACTGAATGAAAAACCCAAACGCCGAGCTGAGGTCCAGTATAGGCATTTGAGCGATGGTGATAAACTGGATTTTCTCCAAGCCATGCAAGCTGAGGTAGGGTCATATCTTGAACAAAAAGCGGTTTCCACGGGTACCCCAAGAACGTATTTTGGCTATGAGATGGGTTTTAACTTGGAAAAGTGACATAAATAAAGAAGGTCAGAAGATTGGACAACGAGCTAAGGCGCGACTTATCATAAAAGGGTTTCAAGATCCTGATATTTTGAATCTCCGTAAAGATAGTCCCGCCTTAAATACCCAATCCCGAAATACCACTCTCTCCATGGCGTCAATGTGGCGCTGGGAAGTCGAAACTTGCGATATTAAAAAGAAATCTACGCCGAACCTCCTGACGAGGTTAAAGAGATGCTTGGCATGCGACCACATGAACTGTTTCGGGCTTTAAAGGCCATATATTAATATATGGGCTCTTACATGCGCCGCGGGCTTGGTTTCAAAAACTTGTTTCGGTTTTGTGTTCCCAAGGTTGGATCCGCTGCAGACTTGAATCGCGTGTTTGGAAACTGTACCAAAATTCTCAACTCTGTGGTTTAATTGGAGGTCATGTTGATGATTTGTTGGTTTGTGGTTCTAGTCATGATGAATACTTTCGTTCTAAGATTCATGAACTCAAACAGTCTTTTCCTTTTGGTGCTTGGACATCAGCTATGCAAGAATCAATCACTTTCTTTGGAAGCAGAACAAAGATTTTTCATTGAGCTGAACCAAGAAAAGTATGCGGATTCCATTACCGAAATCAATTTTGCACGGGAGAGAAAACAAAACAAAGATGCTCTTCTGACAGAGGCCGAAAAGAAACAATTCAGGGTCATTTTCGGAGCACTTGCATGGAGGTCGACTCAAACTGCTCCTTGGCTTTGTGCAAGCACGTCGTATCTACAGGCCTGCTACCAAACTGCCACTGGGGAAAATGCCCTGGAAAGCAACAAACTGTTTAGAGCTCAGAGACACTACAGTAGCACTCCTGTTTCTTTTCTTCCCAAATTGACAAACCTCTGTTGGTTAAGTAACCGACGGGATCTGTCCAGTCGGGGTGGAATGGTGACAGCGCTTACGAGCGAAAACATTCTTAAGGGTCAGGCGCGTCGCTTTTCTCAGGTTTCTTGGCAATCCAAACGGCTTCCCAGGGTCTGCCGATCTTCAACGGCCGCAGAGATTCAGATGAATTCTACTGCTGTTGATGGTCATGAGGTTTTGAAGCAGTTTTTCCCCACATTGACGTGTGGGGTTTTTGTTTTTAGTTCTGTATCCGCTCCGTCCTCCTCCTCCTCCTCCTCCTCCTCCCGTCCTCCCGTCCTCCCGTCCTCCTCACTCACTCGCTCACTCACTCACTCACTCACTCACTCACTTACTTACTCACTCACTCACTCATTCACTCGCTCACTCACTCACTCACTCACTCATTCACTTACTCACTCACTCATCACTCACTCACTCACTCACTCACCCACTCACTCACTCACTCACTCACTCACTCCCTCACTCATTCACTCACTCACTCACTCACTCACATCATGGCAGGCGTGGGACAATGTGCACTGTCAAGGGGTCGGATGTACGCCCCCGGGGTTCCGCTGGCGTCCCTGGGTCTCCGCCTCTTTTGCGTGGCAGGCGTGGGACAATGTGCACTG